ACGGGACATCGGTCTCAGACTTATGGACTCCTCTGTATATCAGATGCCTCGTCTTGTTTACACACATTATGTGATAACTTCAGTGTTTATGTTGAGTGGAATGTCTTATCCTTCCCCCCCGCTGGAGTCAGGAATGTGACAGTTTATTGACGGAAGACTTATTTTACTGTGTCCCTCTGTTATTAAAGGGTATCCTGATTCGGCTCAAGTTTTCTCTCCAAACTAGACGTGTGTTGAAACTGCCGCCATTTCTGTAAACTATCAACAAGCTCGTGGATTAAAATCTCTCAGTTTAATAATGAACAGGAAACTGAACATCAACTTGATGTGCTGACTTTCACTCCACAGAGGCAGATATATGACGACTCGGTGTTCTACGGTCGATCCGACTCTCATGCTGCCCTCAGGACAGAGGTGAGACACTCTGTCGGCACTGAACTGTATCGGCTGCATGGGTGGATTGTTGGATGGATGGCTATTAAATTGGCAGATTGATGCTTGAGTCTCCCTTGAATAAAATTAAACACCCCTTTGCTGGTGTATCTGTCATGAAGGAACTCAAGAATCTAGACAGTTGTGTCTCTCTCATGACACGGGTTAGAGCAGTCGTCCTTTAACCAGAAGGTCGGCGGTTCCATCCCAGTCTTCCCTAGTGCACATGCTGAATTGTCCTTGGGCAAGTTACAGAGCCCCAAATTGCCCTTTCTCATAAAAAGTGAAAGAAGCTGCTGTGTGAATGGGTCATCGGGAATAGAAACGCTCTCTATAAATACAGAGCATTTACCATTTTCACCATGTTGAACCAGAGTTTCCAGAACACGGAGGTGAACCTGCTCGACCAGAACACGGAGATCCTGAAGACCCTTCATTATCTGAGCAGTGTGATCGAGAGCATCAAAAAGCCTCTGGGCACGAGGGAGAACCCGGCTCGCGTCTGCAAAGATCTGCTGGACTGTCAACACAAAGTCAAAGATGGTGAGAGACTCGACTAACTAGTTCTTTACCGATCTGATGATTGGGACGGCTGGATTTTCAGTGCATGATTTAGACGTGTATTAAATCACTCGTCTTTTTCTCCTTGTTCTTATCTTTCTGTCTGAATGGGGACTTTCAGGTTGGTTCTGGGTTGATCCCAATCTGGGCTGCACCACTGATGCCTTCAAGGTCTTCTGTAACTTCACTGCAGGAGGACAGACCTGTGTCCACCCACTGGCCTCTAATAAGGTAACAACTGGACTGAGCTCGGACCTTCATGAAGTAAAGCATTGGTGTATGAATTTGAAATCCAACCCTCAGTTGGATCCCAAAGGTTTTAATCCTCTGTGTTGTGTCATTTCTCCAAATCTTTAACACATGACAACTTAAATGACGGACTGATAAAACTAATGCTCTTTCCTCCACAGATGGCGTTTGGTGTAGGCAAAGTCCAAATGAAGTTTCTTCACCTGTTAAGCACCGAGGCCAGACACAGCATCACGCTCCACTGCCTGAACGATCCACCCAACGTCCCCGCAGACGGCTTCACCTCCACCGGCCCCGATCACAAGGAAAACACCACACTTCGGTTCCGTGGCTGGAACAAACAGACGTTCGAGAAAGACACGCTACTTCAACCACATGTGCTACAAGACGAGTGCAAGGTAACAGGAAGGACAAGGGAGTGTTCCTTTGGCCCACAGGATTCAAGTGTGTGCTCTCAAATCCTGGAATGTCCCCTTTGTTTTGATTATGTTTATGGAAATCAGGCTGTAAAGAGATTTGGACTGAGGTGGTTTGCAGACAGTTTCACTGTACAGCTGTTTTTATGTTGAAGGAAGTAAAAGTTCATTTATTTAGAGCCTGATTCAAACAATATGTTATCGGCCTACGTTGATCTATCAAAGATATAGTGGTTTCGGCAAGTACGTGCTGTCTTATATCGACTGGTGCGATTGTCTTTATAGGAAGTTGCAAACCTGCTTGTGAAGGTGAAAGGTTTTTTCCCTCAGTTTCAAAACACTGTTCATTTACATTCACATCCAGAGACAGAGACAATAAATTAAAACACTGCAGGACAAATTGACGGACAGTAAAGATGGAGAGCTGCTGTGGCTGCAGGTACAAGGCTTTTACCGAAGCAGGTCCTTGTGTCCTTATGGCAGTTTACAACAATATTAACCCTTTTATCCCTTGAGTACTTGTAGTAGTAGTAAGTGATAGTGTTATTGTTTAACACAGTTGCATTATTGGAAAATTGGACTATAAAACACGTGACTCGGCTTCCATTCTTTTCTCTTTCAGATCCAAGACGGGAGCTGGCACCAGTCACGTTTTTTCTTCCACACTCAGGACAGTCGTCAGCTCCCGATCGTAGACGTACAGGAACTCACACCCACATCAACGCCCGACAGTCAGCAGCATCTAGAAATCGGTCCAGTCTGCTTCCTCTGACACCAACAACCCCGTCCTCTAACCTACTCACATCAAACTACTTCAGTACAAGGCTGTTTGAAAAGGGCTGAAGCTTGAACACCAGGCCTGAGCGAGCGTCCACGGGAGTCGGTCACCTTCCTCTGAGAGCGTTGATGGGACTTTGTGAGAGTAACAAACGCTCTGTGCGTCCAGTTGAAGGCAGAACTGCAGGAACTCGATCTCTGTGGAACATCCAGGCCAAGAAGGCCAGAGGAGAACCGTGTATAACAATATTTATCAAATACATGTGTAACATAGGTTTTGTTTGTTTTGATTTGCAGTCAGATGGTGATTAGGTTGGCTTTACATGGACCCACATTAGTCCCTGATCACAGGGCAGGGCCTCCGAACCCCAAAACTCACAGACCATCCTACACAGGGGCCGAACCCGAAGGAGCGTGCCAGGCCTCGACATAGGAGCACTGTCTAACTAAAGGTTTATATGAGTGCAATAGCATGTGGATGATGACGTGTGACTTTTAAATAGTTCATTTTTCCAATCAAAGGCTTGTTGTTTTCATGATATATTTTTTTCAGTCGCACCTGCTCATCTTGACGGATGGCGCTCTACCTCTACCTGCTCATTTGTTTTTCTAGAATAGTCGCTAATGTCAAGTTAGTCATTTTTGCCTTTTGTGTTGTATGTACCGGTTACATCAAGATGTGTTGAATTGTATAAGAACCTATGTTGATTTGGTCATTTCTAATTTATGAACCAGTTTTTTTTTTTTTTTGCACAATTGGACGTGGAATGTTAAAAGTGCTGTAGCTGCTATTACTGCTCCCATAATTAATGTTTTTTTTTTTTTTTTTTATACACTACATATTTTTGTAGCTTTTCCTTCTATGTGGCAGGTTGTTCAGGGGAAACTTACCATTGGTGCTGCAACAAACAATTCGTCATCAGAGAGTTTTTGCATTTCCTGTGTATATATTGACAGCATACTGTATGTTTATTTATATCCTTTTTTTTTGCTCACATCACTGTATCACAGTAAATTATACTCAGAGAAATACTTGGTCAACCACAACTCAGTCTGAAGAAGTATTTATGTTCTTAAGGTGTGTTTGTGTGTTAGCACCTGTGACTTTATGTTCATCAGCCTGTTATTTACAGTTGGTTCAGTGTCAGCTCAGTGGACTGGCAGCTACAATAAGCCAGAGTCAGAAAACACACACACACACACACGTACACACACACATACATTTGAGAAGAACAACAAGAACAAGAACAAGATTTCATATCCTTAACTTATATTACCTTGAACAAAGTGTAATTATATAAAGTCTGTGGCGGATTCCGTCGGTTGCTGATGTGTAAATAATAAATAAGTTGTCAAACAATTAAATGAAACATTTTATCCACAAACGGGTCTGTGCAGTTAACTTGAAATGAGATAACACTTGAATGTCAGCTTTAATAGAAACAGAGTTTGTATTGTGACATATTACTATTTCGTCCTGAGAAACCTTCAGACTAGTGGTGTCCTCAACATGAATCTGGGAGGAGGAAAAATAAACATTGAGCTGCTTCTTCACTGTCATCATTCTGGAGACCTTGATCAAGATGTAGAGGGTTTCTCATTTCCACTCACAGAATGAGAATAAGCTTTATTGGCCCAGTATGTGAACACTCATGCAATGTGACCATTTCTACACTTACTCACAAATACAAAGTTCAGTGGTGGAAGAAGTAATCAGAGTACTCTCACCCTATCAGCAGTAAAAGTACACACAAAATGTCTCCTGTGATCGACATGTTATATGTGACATTACTGATGCATCAGTGCACAAAGTGAGTCTCTTACTTTTCAAACAGACATCTTATCCGTCCTCCTCTTTTTGTTTTAAAAAACATGGACAATA